CCAACCCGGCAGCCCCCCAGCTGCTCTGCCCCAGGTGTTCCCAAGTGGAGCAGCTTTTCTCGCCGCAGAGGACGCGGGCAGTGGGACCACCGCGGCGCATCTCGGCGGTCTGCTGGGAAGGGGGCGCAGCTAGTTCGGGGTTCCCTCACCCCGTTGTTAAGTAGGGATCCGACGTAAGTTGGATCCACGTAACCTGGGGACTGCCTGTATTAGAGAGCTAGCTATGTTAGTATGTATCTGCAAAAGCAACATGGAGTCCTGTGGCACTTTACAGACTAACAATTATTTGGGCATAAGCTTTCATGGGATGCATTATCAAGTCTGTCAGAAGAGTTCAATAAATTTTGGAATTAGAATTCCTACAGAGTTTGAGTCTTAATGCTGGCATTCTAACTATCTGTTCCATAAATATTTCTTCTCAGATTACATGTCCTGTAAGATGGTGAATTGCATTAAGTGCCTGTTGTCATTGGCAGAAAATAGGTTTCCATAATTTTATAAGGTTTCATGGTACACATAAATGTCATTCCTTTAAGATCTAAGACAATTAAATAAGCTGAAGTGTTTTATGAATTAAATAGCATCAATTACCCAGTCGCAGGCTTCTTTTGAGAGAGTCTACTCGGAGGTTGTGGAGGCAATGGAGGTGGTGTAGGTTTAGATTGTGGAACAGCTGGTGGTTGTTTTGACTGCTGGTTTAAAGCTTCTATAACACTGGCTGTCTTTGCAACAGGAGGTGGTGGTGCTGGAAAGAGTATATCTATAAAAAAGACAAAGAAGAGAATGTGATGGAATTAAATTTTTATTGAGTGTATTATTCTTAGAATCTTTAGCAAGGGTGTTGGAAAGGCAGCCGCAGGCTGGATCCATCAGCTTGGTGGGTCATATCTGGCCCATTAGCTGCCTCTTGCCAACTCCTGGTTTATGGCAATTTTGTTGATAGTATTTTGTGAGAAGTTCTGTAAAGAGGGACTTCTCCTTCACCAGACATTAATCATAGCATGACTTTAAAAGAAATGTTTAGAATTAAGTGAAATAATTAAAAATTTTCCTCTTTAGAGAGGCAAGATGGTTGAAGTAATATATTTGAACCAGCTTCTGTTAGGAAGAGAGACAAGCTCTTCTACAGCTCTGTCTAAGCTTGAAAGCTTGTCTCTATCACCAACAGAAATTGATCCAATAAAAGATATTACCTTACCCACCTTGTGTCTCTTCTGTATTGGCACCGACGGGGCTACAACAGCACTGCATTTTTCTTTTTTGGTCAGTTCAACTACAGAATGGCAGAATATTACACCACCTCACACTTAAGTTTTCCAATTGTCATTTGTATTCCTAAAGCTAGCAACAACTAAGAACATCATACAGACAACACATTGTATGTAACACCTCTGTGTAACACTTCTGTTATACAAACTCTTTAATATTAATGAGAAAAATATAATTAAAACCCTACATAAACACATTGAGAAATCCCTTAAATACTGGTGGTAGAAGGAATTCCCTGCTAAACCACTACAGCAACCAATCCCCCTTGGTCTGTTGTAAGAAACTATTCATACAAATTGCTGGAGGATGGATAACAAGCCAAAAACCCTCCAATTACCTACCTTGTGTAACTTGTTCTTTGAGATGTGTTGCTCATGTCCATTCCATGTGTGTGTGTGCGTGCATGCGCCTTGGGCACGATCTTCAGAAGATTTTCCCTAGTGATACCTCTTGGGTTGGTTGTGGAGCCCCCTACAGTGAAGCCTCCATAGCGCTGCATATAAAATCCACTGATGACTCAAAGCCCACTCAGTTCCTTCTTGCTGGAACATTCTGTCAGAGGGGAGGCTGGAGGGTTGGAATGGACATGAGCAACACATCTCGAAGAACAACCATTATGAAAGGTAGGCAACCATTTTGTCTTTCAGTAATTACTCATATGCATTCCAATATGTGATTTACCAGCAATCTGTATGGAGGAGGAAGAGGATTTCAATGAGTCACTGCTTGCAGAACTGTCCTGTCAAATGCAACATCATCCCATGCCTACTGAGTTATGGCATAATGTCCAGTAAAGATGTGTATGGAGGGCCACATTCCTACTCTGCAGATGTCTTGGATATGGACATGTGCCAGGAACACCACGGAAGATGCCTGCCCTCTGACTGAGTGATCCATCAATGGGGGGCTGGGAGTTTGGCCAGGTGGTAGCTAGGGATGAAGAAGGTTTACTGGTTACCTGGTAAGCACTAGCCTTACCAACATTCTTACCAGGTAACCAGTTAACCGGAGGGCCAGGCCCAGCCAGAGCAGGTTCCCCCCGCCTGCGAAACCCCAGCCCTCCACGGTTAACTGGTTTACTTTTTAAATGGGTGTGGTCCCATGTAGTGGCACTTAGCTGAGGCTGTAGAGCACACTCATTCTCTTACCCTGTAAGTGGTCTGAGAGCTTTTAGCTTAAGCAGTAGAGGCTCATGCACTAAGCTCCAGAGGTCCCAGGTTCAGTTCCACCTGACGATGTTATGTTTACCTCCCTAGCCATAGCAGGTTTTAGAACATGACATGATCCAGGACAAAGAGACATTGGGATATAATCAGGAGTCGCTTTATTCTCTCAGCTATACGTACGAAGAACTGTGGCAATTTGCAAAATGACTTAGTGTGCTCAATGTAAAAAGCCAGTGTATCCCTTACATCCAGGAAATGTATGCACTTGCTCACAGTTGTTAGCATGGGGTTTCGGGAAGAACACCAGCACACAAATGTCTTGATTAACATGGCAAGGAACATGATCTTTGGTAGGAACACACAGTGTAGGTGCAGCTGCAACTTATTTTTGTAAAAGACAGAGTACAGGGTCTCTGAGGTGAATGCCCACCGCTTTAACACCTGTGTGGCCGATGTTATAGGCACAAGAAAGGCCATCTTGTAGAAGAGATGGGCAGAAGGTATCCATGAGTTCAAACAGCAGCTCCATGAGCCATGAAAGGACCAGATTAAGTTTCCACTGTGGTACTGGTTGTTGTACCAGGGGGTACAGCCTGTCCAAACCTTTCAGGAAGCACCCCACCATCAGGTGACCAAAGAAGGAACTGATGGAATACTGAGATAGCTACGAGGTGGACCTTCATTGATGACACAGCCAGACGTTAGTGCTTTCAGTACTGGAAATAGTCAGGAGAAAGGAGAGAGTGACTTGCTGTGGGGATATGCCCCGCTGAAGGGATCAAAGAGAGAAGCATTTCTCCTTGCTAGATAGGTAGCATGGGTGGACGGCTTATGTCTGCCTAAGGATTTTAGGGTGGCCCTGGAGTCCTTCAAAATATTCAGGTCAGAATCAAGTTTTCTTGATGAACAGGCCCACCTGACTGAAGGGGTGATCCCGGATAGCACACTGGGCCTTCTCCTGTAGCCAAGACACCTGTAGCCAAGAACTGCATTGCATGATAATGGCCGTGGCCCATGATGCTAAGTTGGTGGAGTCAAAAGTTGCCTGCAAAGAAGTCCTGGCAGCCTTCTTGCAGGATGTCTGAAAACTTCTGCCTGGCTTCCAACTGGAGAAGCTCCTGGAATTTCGACAGTGGGTTCCAGGCATTAAACACACAGTGGCTTGGTATCACCTGCTGGTTGGAAATAAGAAACTGGAGCTAGTGTTCCCTGTAAGCTGAGTGCTTGGGCAGCCACCCGGTAGAGATTTAGGTGCCTCACAGCTGATTAGCAGAGCACCAGCAGAATATGTTTCTACTGGTAATGCACATCTGCATATGTCTCGGTGCATGTAACAAAATTTATTCCACACACGAATGGGAAAGATTAGAGGGAACATTGGCTGGAGCCCACTGGTCAAGCAGATCTTGCAACTGACAAGATCCAACATTTTCACTTCCTTATTTTTGGCAGCTGACCTCGTCTGTCCTTTGCACTCCCTATGGTTCACTGCATTGACCACTAGTGACCCCAGTTGTGGGTGGGTGAACAGGTGTTTGGATTCTTTTTGGAGGGACAAGGTAGCACCTTTCACCCTCCTTGGCCACAGGTGGTCAGTGTTTGCCACAGCACCTTAGTAATTGCTTGGATGGTCTTAATAAGTGCAAGGCTACTGTTGCAGAGTCTTGGGGGACAAAATGTCCATAATTGGAACTGAGTCTTCAATAGCTTCCTCAGTGGGCATGTTGAGGCTCTGAGCTATACGCCTCAGCAGATCCTAGTAGGCCTTCAAGTCTATAGATGGAAGAAACAAGGGATCACCACTTCATCCGGTGAAGACAAGGAAGATGTTATGGGAAGGATATGGTCTTCCTGACCCTCAGATTCCCTGGCAGTGTCCTGTTCTGGAAGCTGGGTAGGAGAGATCGATGAAGAAGGGAACATGGTGACAATCCCTCCCACTGCCCCTCCAGTCCGTATGGGTGCCAGATGGATCCTCAGGGGTAGGAGGTGGTGCTGGAGCTACCAAGGAACGTGCTTGGGTCAAGGAGGCCATGGAAGCGGTCCTGAAAACTCACCCTGGGCCCTGATCCTGGTGGTAAGTGGTATCCAAAAGGGCCACTGTATTGGGGCCGGCCACTGTATTGGGGCCAGCCAATGAGAAGGCCAGGACATCATTGGTGCCGTTGCTGCATCAGCTTAGTGGTGCAGGGACCGGTGCCGAGATCAGGACTGGTACCATGAGCTGCGAGACCCAAAGGAATCAGGTGCTGTTAGCTCTATGGCATCTCTAGCTGCCTTAAACTTATCTAGTGTGGTGGGGAGGTTCAAGTCCTCCTCTAACACCTCACACAGAGGAGAGCCCACAAGATCAGACTCGATGGCCCAGCATGAGGGGCCAGAGTCAACAGTGCTAGGACAGATGAGCTCACTCTGTGGTGGCCTGACACAGACCGCACAACCTCTGTCTCTCTTCTGGTCCTCTTGCTAGAAGAACAGTCCGTGTTGGCTGCCTTCTTCTGTGGCAGTGGGAAGCCTTTTGTGCAAGGGAGCGACACTGATGTTCCTTCCATTCCTCCCTACATGGTGTTGAATCCTGCCACTCCAAGGCAGTGCACTATGCACCATGGGCGCTGGCACTGCTTCCTGCAACAGTGGCTGAAGTGTGGACTCCATGAGGAGAAGTTACATCTCTTGCCTGGCTTAAATCCCCTGGAGCTGCAGCATTAAACTTGTAAATTAGCTTTCTCATGACACTTAAGGCACTCAGCATGTGGGTCCCCCTCAGGGAATACACATTGCCACCCACATTGCACTGTTTGAAGCCATGGTTAGGCTGCATACCCCAGGGGTATGCAGAAAAAATGGGGGGAAACCCTTCCCCCAAAACTAACTTCTAACTATACTACTACAAGAAAAATAACCTCTGTCCTAGTGGGAAACTACTATATATATATTAGACATGAATAACTTGCAAAGCAAGAGGTCAGAAGTTCCATCAACTGTCACTGGCAGCAAGAAGAAACTGAGTGGGCTCTGAGTTAGCAGGGGATTATATGCAGCACCTCAGAGGTGCCACTCTAAGGGACTCCGATGGAAACCACCAGGGAAAATCTTCTGATGACCATGCAGGTGGATCACGCACACACATATTGGAATGTATACGAGCAATCACTTGAAGAACTACAGCTGCCAAAAGAGGAAGCATGAGTTGTGAAAATGAAAAAATAGACTCAACCATGATAAGATGCAACAGCAGAGAAAAACAGGGGAAAGTGAAAACATACTTGTAGATGTTACACGCAATGGTGGCACAGGGGGATGAATAGCTGGCGGATCTGATGAAGATCTCTGTCTGCTTATATTTTCCACTCCTAATGAATTTGTCTTCCACATTGTATTAAATGAAGTTGTATGAACACCAATCCCAAGAACTGAAGGCTGCACTAAAGAAAACAGGAAAATACTGTATAAAAATTATTTGCTGACTGTGTGTGTGGGAAAAGTGCTAATAGTCACACCTGTGTTTTATTTTAAATGGTGTGATAGTATATTGTATACATTGAAAGAAACCACCATCATCTTGTAGCGTATAAGAGAATAAATCATATATGACTGAAAACAATAATATCAGTTTCAGGTGGAAGTATTCTTAACATTTCAGCTACAAAAGTGCTTCTTTCAGGTCAACATTTCAAAATGTGTCAGATTTATAATCCATTTCTCAGCTTATGAATTTGATGGTTAAGCCTTGGCAAAGGCAAAAACTTCTCAGTAAGAAATCAAAAGGTGAGTCCTATGAAAAAAATCATTGAACTCCTGACTGTTGCCTTTAGACACTACTTGAAAGGCACATAATGAACATGCCTGGGAACACACTGACTCAACAAGTAATAAACTTAAAAAACAAAAACTGGTCTGGTAGTACTTTAATGACTAACAAAACATATAGATGGTATCATGAGCTTTCATGGGCACAGCCCACTTCTTCAGATGACTGGAGAAGTGCGCTGTGCCCACGAAAGCTCATGCTACCATCTATATGTTTTGTTAGTCTATAAAGTGCTACCAGACTAGTTTTCGTTTTTTAAGTTTATTTTGTACCAACTAACTCGGCTACCCCCCTGAAGCTTCTCAACAAGTAATGTTAGTTCTAACCTGGAACTTCGGCAAAACTATACTTCAGGGTTTCATCAAAACTAGGACCAACAGCTATAGCACTTGCATTGCTTTTGTGATTTACAACTGATTCCACATTTACTACACTAGGGCTAAAATGCTATATCCCTCTTTCACTAAAGCACACTATAAGCTCTCCTTTTTTATAGCAGAAATTTAGCTAAGTAGCATATAATTTTATCCCTACACAGAAAGCATGATCTCCATATTAAGGAAAGATTAAAAACAGTTAATGTAATGCAGAAATAAGCATTAATTTGGATATAAAGAAAGTATAAACGGATGAGACGATTTAAAGAACATTCTAAAATTAAGAGGATAGTATTATGAAAGGCAGCTAACAAGAGGCTAAGATTAGTGATGACATCATTATGTTCAATTGGGAAAATGAAAGAGGCTAATGAAATAAACTATCGTAAAATATACCATCAAACCTTTTTAAGCCAACAGGCATATTTTTCATGGCATGAGCAGCATCACATGGGTGCCAAGTTGGAGGGGAGGATGGGAGAAAAAAGATAAATGACAGTATTTTGAAAGCCTGCCATTTAATCTAAGGGAAATGGGGTAAAATTTAGTCAAAGGGCAAAACAAACATTTTAATTATTCAGTCAAGAAGAAAAATAATATCCTCAGCTGGGTTCCCCCTTCTCAAAAGGTGTAGGCAGTCTTAAAAAACCCCACATGAAATCATGGTAACCATTTTATATTCTCAGCTAATTTCCAAGAAAAATTATACTTTTTGCAGGTTTTTATGATTACTCCTGTACCATGGGAGCTATTGTAGACTCATCATTTAATATACCAGAAAAGACCAATGGTGTATTAAGTCCTATAGCTTAACTTCATCCATGACATGATCCTTCCAAGGAGGTTGAGAAAACCATTCATGTATATGGTCAGTTGTGCAATGCTGTACTTTATGCTATCTTATTGTTCATTTATTGTTAATACAGTCAAAGCTGAGGATGAGTGTTCACTCTACACAGAGTACATGGACTATTTTACAAGGCAGATAAGAAATCAGTGCATGCACAAAGTCTGGCATATTTTAGTATAAAAGGCTGTAAGAATACGTGGAATGCTTTCTTGCATTACTATAGTTTTAGTCACTTTTGGCATTCAGGAAAGATAACACATGGCATTAGAAACTGAAATCCCTACCCACAGAACTATCACTGTATTTGCCAGTCTCTTCATCCTCTCCCATCTAGTCTTGATTGTACAGATTGGACCTCCCTTATCCAGCACCCTCAGGACCTGATCAGTCCCAAACAATGGGATTTGTTGGACCGGGGAGGTCTCTCCCCTTCGGGCCCATGCTAAACTGCTGCCCCTCCCCTCCAGTCTGCCCCACTACTGCCTGGTCACTCCCTGGGCTGGAACTCTCTAGCTCCTGCTGCTGCCAGGGCTGGAGCTGTGTGGCTGGGACTGGAGCTGCCTGTCTGCTGCCGGGGCTGGAGCTGGGCAGCTGGAGTCAGAGCTCCCTAGCTGCCGCCAGAGCTGGAGCTGTGCAGCCGGGGCCCAAGCTTTCTGGCTGCCACTGGGGCCAGAACTGCACAGCCACTGCTGGCCCGCTGCTACTGCCTAGCTGTTGGGATCAGATTCTGCCTCCTCCTTCTCCGGGCTCCCGGCTGAGTTGCTGGCTCCTGCTGCTGCACTCCTGCCCCGTGGCCAGACCTCCCCATCCCTGGACTCTGTGGTCCAGGAACATCTGAGTCTTGGTTAAGGGAGGTACAACCTAAGGATGTTAAGAAGCATATAACTGACTAATCATGTACAATCTGTATCGAGTACAGAGGCAGCAGGGGCTGGGAAAGCAAGTAATCATGACTACTCAACTACTCTTTTACGTCCATAGTACAACCTGTAACGTTAATTTTCTTATGTGAGCATTTGGCCCATACAAACAGAACTGAGGCCCACAATTTCACATAGGCCTTTGAAGAGAAAAATCAGCAGGGATCCTAGTTTTCCTTGATGAAACCCACCCGCCCCCCCAAAAAAAAAAAAACTCCAATTAAAAAGCATAAAAATCCATGGATTTCCATAATTAAAATGAAATGCTAAGCTTTAGTTGATATATTTACAATTTTTAAGCAAGTTCAAACCCTACCAGTGCCATCAAACATTGTAATAAAATAGAATTGAAATTTGTATTGCTTATATATACTAAATATTTCTATGTCTGTATTCTAGACTTTCAGAAAATTGTGTGTTTTTTTAATGCACAAGAACCCTGGAATGATCCAGTTACATTGCATAGTTCCTTTATTACTGTCAATGTTCCTGCTGTTTCAGTCTCATGTTTTTGTTTCTTTTCATTCAGTTTATGTTTAGCGCTTTCCATGAGTTCTTCAATTCTTTGCCTCCAAATGTAATCTACAACCTTGCTGCATATAGTACAGAATGGCACATTACGATCAATGTGAAATTTGTTCTTGCCAAACTCAATGACATAGTCTTTAGGGGCATTTTAAAAAGTTTTTGGCATGTTTTCATTATTTTAATTACTCACATCTGAAGGCTGAACTGAAACGTAAAATGCATAAAAACATGAATCGACATATGTCATTGTGTAACCTCAATACACCGGAAGCAGTTTATATGAGTATGTTTAACTATGTAAATTTAAAGCACATTCAAAAATCAATTATGAGAAGGGAAGATTGTGTGCACTGAATAAGTGCCATGGGTACTCTCAGTAAAATTTAGTTAATAAATACTGTTATTTTTTCACAAAATGTGAAAACGAAAGATTCTCTAACAGGATAGTTACGTTTTCATTGGTTACCAATTCCATAAAAATCCTAATTCCCCTCTTTATTTTATTTCCACACTTTCCATCACAGATTTATAAAGAGTGACTGTAATGTTAATCATTGCCTATTTTTCTTCATACTATCCTCAGCCCCTTTTAAGGAGCTAAATGGTTATGGAAGTTCAGTATAAATCAGACTGAGACATCTTTAGGAAATAAAAGTTTTAGAAGTTGGAGCACAAGCAAAAAGCAGTTGGTGAAATTGATCATCTGGGCTGTTACTCATTTCTTATAATGAGCTTGACCCCTATTGATTTTATTTATAGATCTATTATTTTCACACACATTCTGTATGATTCCCAAGATTCAATTCAAAATGTATTTTCCTTCACTAGTCCATACAATTAAAATCAAACTCAGAATATGTTGTGCAGATTCACTTCAAATTAAAAAACAAACCATCAGTAAATAGTTCTAATACCTACCTGTGCAACATAACTGTAAAACAAATCTTCAAAATGTAAGGAAAAAAAAAGTTATGATCCCATTTCTTCTAAAACACTATATTTTCCAGCGTTAGTACCTTTGCCAATATTCCTTGGCGGTAGGGGAGGTGCACTTGTAGTAACAGGTACTGCAGATTGAATGGGAGGTGGACTGCCACTAAGTATTGCTCCATAGGTTTCATTCTGTAATATACTAGGCATAAAACTTCTTTGTTTATCCTTGGCAATATTTGCTGCATCTCTTGCCAAACACGCTACATTAGGCTGAAGTTGGTTTGGTCCCAGCTGATAGAAACTGACAGGCCTGTCCTCTCTTCGATTAGGACTGGGTTGCTAAAAACAAAACAACAAAAGAAAAGAAAAATGCATTTGGAAATTACATTAGTTTGGTTAACTTATTCAGCAAGGCTTGAAATATTTACCCAATACTGGCTAGTCAGAGGACTATGCCTATCAACTCTTATGGCATCAATAGCTTTTCCCTCTCATTTCTATAATAGATGATGGTGCATCTTTTATTGCATTTTCCCTAATGTTTATGATCATCCTCATCACCACCACGACCACCTAGATGTATCATGTTAGCACCTAGAGGCCCCAAATGAGACTAGGGCCCCATTGTACTAGGCACTGTACAAATGCATGGTAAAAAGCAGTTCCTGTTCCAAAGCACTTACAATCTAAACAGACAAGACAAAGAAAGGGCAGGAGAGGAAACCCGTAGATGGAGGGAAGAAAAGACTTCCCCAAGATCATACAATAGGTAATTGTAGAGCCAGGAAAAGAACAATGGTTTCCTAAGTTCCAGTCCAATGTCCTAATCATACCACGTCTAATGTTTTTTTCTTTTCATTCTTTCATCTTGCAGCCCATTATCATATCTCTTTCCCAAACTTTACCCTTTCTTTTCTCCACTTTTTCCACCCTCTTCCTCCCACTCTCCCTCTACCTCCAAGAACATTCTTTTCTTTTCTAATGTATTTCATCACTCTTTTTTCTTGCCCATATCCATCAACTCTCACATATGGCTTAGAAATTCTACCCAACATGTAAGAGCTACTTGCCAGAGAGTGTTATATTAGATGAGGGGCTCTGCTGACCAGAGGCAACACATGAATGAAAAGCTATTTCCTAGCTTCATAAGCTCCTGGGATATGAGAAAATGCTGGGATTCCTACCAGTGTACTCTTCCTCTATCCTATTCTTTATATTAGGCCTCTTGTATTCATTTAGATGGAATAATATGGCTGATGGTCTTACCATAACCAAATTACTGTCCAACATTTTAAACAAAATCTGCGTTTGATATACAGAGACCTCAGCTCAGTTAGTACCATGGTAAATACATTACAATCCTTTTAACCTTTTATAAAAAGATGCAGAAGAAAGGGAAAAACACAGCATTTTAAAACATAATATTAAATATAGTTTTCATTTTAACAAAATCTCCCATTTTCTTTCCCTTTGGTTGGAAAGCCTTCAGTTAGAAGGGGAAAAAACCCCTCATTAGGATAGATCTGAAGATGGTCTTAAGTGGCCTTTCGGGGAAAAAAGATGAAGTTAACAGAGATGTTGTCAATTTTGCTGAAGTATCATGTTGTTTCCTAGAAGACCAAACAAAGCAAATATACACAAGAGGGGAAAGAAGAAAACAGCAAAGATAGAAAATGCAGCTTCTGTCTTTGGGGCTGACATTCATTTGCAGCCTCACTTCTGGAAAGACACAGGCACAGCCCATAGTCTTATCAGACACTGTGAGGCCTGGCTAACTTGTACCAACTGCTAGTTTTTTTATGGCATTGCTTTTAGTTGCCTTTTTATAGTCACAGGCTTATAGCAGTGTTGCAAATTATAGAGTTTTAGCCAGCAAAGTCAGACATTTATTAGAAAGAAAACAAAGATAGGAAAGAGAAGAT